TCATTAGTGTGGTTTGACCACTGTCTGCAATGTTACAGTACCATTCAGGGTATATGACTAGCATAAATAGTCATCTTGGTGCCATCTTCTCAGTCTGAGGTACTGGTGAGAGGAAACAGCTCTTTTCACTCTGGTATTTTTCACCAAGCAGACAAGGTATCTGAGGGGATATGCTCAGGCAGCATGTGAATAAGGGGGAAGGAGGTATTCCTTCAGGTCTTCCCCATTTCATCTGCTCAGGTCCCTTTAGGAACACTTTTTTACTGCAGGTGATACTGGTGGATGGCTTTGCTAATCCCTCTGCAGGTGGACTAGAGAGATCTTCAGACAAAACATTTGTTTTCAGCTGTTATCCTGACACACTGACAAAATTTGTCTAAATGACAGTTGGGAAAAAAAAAAAGTTGTTCTCCTTTGAAAGCAAAGTAACTCAGCAAAATTTAAAAAAATAAAAACCACAAATTTTTACAGGACCAGGAAAACAATGTTTTCTTATCTCTCTACCTTTTTTTTTGCCCATTTTTCAAAGGCCTGTTGAACCCACGTGAAGATGGAAGAATTTTCTAAAGAAAAACTACAAGATACTGTAAAATGATAAAACTTTTAAAGCAGCCTAAGAGGAGGAGTCACTAACAGGTCTTTCATCCTAAAATACACATTGGACTCTGCATACAGACCCTACTCAGAAAAGTACCTACTTGACATATCATAGACCAAACCGTATCCCAATGATCTGTCAGTCCTGGGTATTAACATGTTCAGGATATGTTCAGAAAGTTGCCGGAGCTGCTGATAAGACTATGTATGTTGCTGAAATGTGCATGTCATCAGAATTTATTAAAATAAAACAAAGGTGTTTCATTTCAAATTGGTCCTACAAAGTGAAAGACACTTTTTGGTAAAGGTGGATCAGGTTTTAGTGGCACTCATTATCAAACTCACTTTTGAATTTCTTTCTTTCCTGGTTTGTTTTCAGTTTGTGCCTGTATGCACTTGAGGTGATGACTCTAAAGGACCTTCTGATTAACCTTTGTTACCATGGAAACAGACAGTTTAACCTGTTCAGTATATTCAGAAAATATTTTAGATGTATAAATAAATCACCCTGCTTTCAAAAATAACATATTGCTTTCTTCAACTAAGAGCTAGAAACCCTCTTTTTTTGGCTTAAATGCTGAAAAAATGTATTAACGTCAGTGCTAATGTTGATTTTACAAGTAGGTTCTATAATAGAACCTTTCACTTAACACCTAAGAAATAAAGAATGACTATCTATTTTATTATCCCTATAATCTGTCAAAATGTAAAATTTCCTTTAATATAATGAAAAAGAAAAAGCGTACTAATTCATCACAGCAAAATGTGTTCTAATGATTAAATCTCTGTGTAACAGAGTTTAACATTAACAAAGGTGGCTGCAATTTACAATAATTATTTTGCATATATAGAAGCAGACACACACATATATATACATATGTATAATTATAACACATTTTTATAAAATACATTTAATCTTAAACTATGTTTCAGTTAACTTAAAAGTCAAGAAACTTTGAGGAGACTTTCCTTTTGACAGGTAAGTTCAGGCAGATACACATGCCCTGAGGTACCTACATTGATTCTAGTACGCTGCATGCTGGAACAGTGCACAGTACATGCATGACTGAGTTTAAACTGCAAAGGAGATAAAATTATTTTCTCATATTTTCAGATTTTTCTTTTCTGAAGCAGATACGTTTATTTGCTTATTAGGCAAGATAAGTTCTTCTTGTTGCTTGAAAATGCTTTCTCTGTTCTGTGGCCTGAAACAAACATATCTGTTCTAAACTTAGTTTATACTATCTAAACTGCATGCCACATTAATCAATATTGCCCAATTTTTTTTAGCAATGAAAAAATTTTTAGTAGTTTGTGTCTTAATTCAGACTGGTAAGTGCTGAATCTAGCAGATGGTGTGGAATCAGGAATTCTCATTCGATTAAAATTAGATTCAGATCTTACACATCTTGAGGTTCATTGATTCAAACACTTTCAGTTGTGAACTGGACCCTGTTCTTTATTTTCTTCTAAAAGATATCAAACCAAAGATGGAAGGATAAAAAGAGTCTTTATTCAAGGTTAAGTTCTATTATCTTTACTGCAGCATTTCCAAAAGTTTTTGGAACAGTAAGAAAATATAAGAGTTTGCAGTTTTATGATTCTTCAAGAGTATTTCATGAATAATTCACACTTTCTATGCACATTCTTTAGTCATGACTGTACACGTTGATACATAGCTTGAAGAGAAGGACTGTATTGCCTTATCTGCACATTTACGCTAAGTAATTCCATATAGTTTAAATTCAGCAGTGAGCTACAGCATAGTTCTTTTAATTTGAGATATCAGGAAACACATGCTGAATTGAGAGTGCAAATTAAATGGCATAAAGTCAGTATAGGAGGACCTTTATTAGAAGTCATGTCAGGCCTCTGAGCATGTCTTCTGGGAAATCAATTGAGAAGTCGCTTGAGAACCTGTATACTTGTGCAGCTAATAAAACTATTTTTTTCTTCTTATAGCAAACCTGGCTCCTGAGTGTATGCCATATATTAGATGTTTGGATTATGCAAGTTCTCAATCGTAATAACATAAAATAAGTTTCCCCCCCTCTTATTAATGACCTCTCACTTGTAGCAGTGGTCAGTCATAACCACACATGAGCACAGGGTGCTGTAGCATTTCCTCATTTAGGAGGCCCTCTCCAATAAACATGAGCACTTAACTCTATCACTTATCACATACCAGTTGTAGGAAGATAACTAAAATATCTTTCCTTCAAGAGCTCTAAAAACTGAAAAAAAATACTTGAGGCCAAATCAAAATCAAGAAATTTGCTAATTTAAGCAATGGAATGCCAGATGATTGAGATAGTGAACTTATTTCTGGTTTCTAAATATCAAAGATATTACTTCAAACATAAAGTTATTAACAGAACTGAGAGAGGTTTAGAAAATAAGTTGCATTCAGCTGCCATAGCAGATCTGTTCTTGCCCTCTTGGATGATGCAGATTATCCTACCTGGTCTCCTGACACAAGGTCCTCAATCCTGCCACACCAGAAGTATGCTGGTCTTTTCTAAGTCCTGTTTCATACCTGTGCTTGTGCCATGCAGGTGCTTCAGATAATCAAGGGCTTTTAAAATATTACTCAGGTGCTTCAGATTTACCTGTTTCTACAACTGTCTACACAGCTGGATGTGCAAAGACCTGTAAGCGGTGGAGTAACTCTCCTAGGACTCTTTTATGCAGTCCTTTGAAGAAAGAGTTGAAGTCCCTCACTTGAGTCAAGTGCTCTGTTCAGTGGGGCTTATGAGTTATGGACCTTTTTACACTTAATCTCCAGTCAGTTGTTCTTCACTTCCTGCTGCAAAATAGAAGCAGCTCAACTGCTGAGTTGGAATGTGGCACCTATGTTTTGAGAAGACTCATGATTGCTGACCTATATCAGGTATGATCTCAGCATACCTCCTGGAAATGCCAAGGATTTAGGTGGTAGAACCCTGAGGATCCCCATCCCATATCACATTTTCTTAGAATGAGATGGGCATAAAATTTTCTCAGCCCTCTCAAAGTAGGGATTTAAGCATAACAGTCAAACTTCACATCAAATTTAAACACAGTCAGCCGCCTTTTTGCCAGCTGTTTTTTTTCCAAGAAAACACGATGGAAAAATCAGGGTCAATCAGGGAGGAGATGCTTTATAGTTCCAGCTTGTACGATATTATTCATAAAGTCTGTATTCTTTTGTCTTGCAGCTACCAATTTCTTCTCCTTCAGTCTTTAGACATTCATGCCATTGAAGACCAGGATAATACACTCTGGTTCTAATCCTGAACTTTGATTTTGACCTGCACATATCGGGTTGGCTGGGAGGAGTTATCAGTGTTTGGTGCATGGGTAATAACTGAGTTCAGTCTAGCCACCGTTTACAAAGAATATTGCAGAGGAAGGACAAATGTAGAAACGTGCTCCAGTTCGAGAAATGCTATCAAACAGAATTTCTCTGCTTGCATGATTCAAATTGTTTGTGTTCTAGATCAACCTTAATTCAGGGAACATATTTATGCTTGTATATAAGCCATTTCTGTTCACAAGAACACATACAGACACCGTTAGTTTTCAATACATGCAAGGTACTTTCTAGGGGAAAAAAAATACTTCACTGAGAGGAGCAGTAATCCTGTACTCACAGTCATTATACTGCATGAATGTTGTTGAACTGTGAGGTATTAATCATGATTCTTTGCTCTGTTATTTCCTTAGACAATTATGTTTAAATATCCTCTTAACCTCTTCCTCTCTCCCTCTCCTTCCTTCCTCCTTTTCTGTTTTTCTTTCTACCTTTCTTTGAATGTAATTCAGATAGATATTATCACTAAAGAAATGGTATCAGAAATGTGGCTCCTTTAAATGTAACCAAATATGAGAAAATGTGTACTGTTACTTTGAATTATTGCATCTAAAGGTAAATGACACCATATCACACTGATATGTCTATCCATGCATGCACATGTGTGCATCCATGACAGAGTTGACTACACAGAGTAGGTAATGTAGAGAAAAAGTAGTTTTATAAGATTTACTATTCATGTTTAATTTACATTACTATCATTCATGATTAAATTAGAAAAACTCCAAAGAGAAAAAATATATATAAAAGAGGGACTGACATTTTGCTATTAGATGAAATTGTGCTGTAATGGAATTTCAAACCACTAGTTTGCTATTTTCATGTAGCAAAAACTATGTAATACTATTCTGCATAGGAATCTTTAAGAAAGAATGTTTTAACTGGTGACTTTAAGGCTAATCTGAAGAACCTAAAAGGAAAGAGGCCTGTTTCTACTTTGTGATGTTTAAAAACATTAAAAATGTTGTCTGAGAAATACTGAAGTAAGCTGATAAAAATGTACTGCTTTTGAAAAATGTTTCAAAGATTCAGAGAGGGAAACTAGACTTACCATCATGTTTGAAGGCCTCTGAAAAGTGATAGAGGTTTGTTGGGGAGTGATAATGTTGTGCAGCTCCTCTCCAGCCTGGTGAAGATACACTTCCTAATGAAGGACTGCTTAATCGTGGTCTATTCTTTGAATTAAATGAGGTTAAAGATGAACTGCCAGATTTGATTCTTAGGATAGCAGCATATGAAGTGGGGAGACCAGGAACAGCTTCTGAATATTCTGAAAAAAACCCAAGAAGTGAACACTGAATAAAGATAAAATCTATCACTTCTCAAAAGAATATTTAGTAATGCAGTAGAAAAATAGAAATTTTTTATCTGTAAAAGGAGTGTTAGAGACTCCACAAGGGATTCATCTAGACAGAACTGGGTAGCAGCATAGAGCTCTAAGACAGAAAATTCCCCTGAAGTTTCAACACAATATAAAAATCAGGTCGTTATTAAATTTCTTACTTCTGGTAATATGAGTTTTCAATATTTTCAATTCTACTTCTATGACCCTAAGTCACTAGTAGAAAAGTGTCTGCCAAGCCACCATCTTTCCTTCACAGCCTTACATTACTTTATATATGCAGTGTAGAAACATTGGCTGAAGCTAAATGTGCTCCTCATTTCAACACTAATCTGCAAATCAAGTGGGCTAGCTAAAAAGCCCAAGAGCTCATATATGCACACATATCTCTCCCAAAAACATGCACATGCCAAAGTCACCTCCTTTTCTGTCTCTGCAACTTCTCTTTTTTTCCTTTTCTGCCTGTACCTAAAGTTTCAGTGTCTACAAATAAAGAATAGTGCCCAAGTTTTTTGGTCTTCACATTGGCATAATGTGAACAATGAAAAACTATGGTGTTCAAAAGCTTTGAATAGCAGCACACTCAACTGAAATAAAATCTCTTTGAAATACAAGGTCATGGCCTTGCTGGAGAGCTTTTGGAAAAATATTCTAAGTATAAATATAATTTGGACTATTTTATATTTCAAATTCTTTAAAATTAGAGAAATATGCATTTTATTTTATGAAGATTGTGACAGAGAACGCTTAGAATCTTACCGGTTTTGGAAAAGGTCATTTCAGTACAGTATTTATTGTCTCTGATCAGCTGTTAAAAATGCACCTCTTCTACCTTTTAGAATAAGGTGGAATTTGGCAAAAGCAGATGACCAGTATTTTAAAATTACCATTTTCATCTATGCATACTCTAAATATACAGATTATTTGATGATGTCGTGTCTCATTTAAAATTTGGATTTAAATATAAGTTTTGACAATCAGATGGGAAAGGCACTAATAAGGAGAACTCTGTTTTAAGTTGTTTTTCATCCTGGTCTCACAAACGATCTATGTTATAATGTGCGTCATGCTGTTTTGTATATCATAAACATAACATCATCTTTCCTGGCCCACAAAGGCAGGGGAAATAGAACATCATGGTGATAAATTAAAATGTAGTATGAAAATATATCTTATAGGACCTCTTCAAACATTATCATTGGAATATAAATGTGATTTCACAAAAAATATCTTTGATTGTCTTTCAATACATTCCTTCAACATTTTGCAATATTGATATTTTTTAGTTCTTTTAAAGTAAAATTTTTCCATAGGGGGAAAGTAAAGTAAAATCTTTCCAATTCCAGGGGAATATTGAAAAAATCTTTAAAAATTCATATTAAAATCTATCCCCATTAAAATAACTTATTTTCATTCTGATTTTCCTGAGGTCAGAATCTCAAGGTCATTGAGGTTTCTTGAAGAAATTTTTATATTTTTGACTTATTTTGGTCTCACCAAATGCTAATTTATGAACAAAAATATTTTTGGCTTTACAAATATAAATTATTTCAGCTAAATGAGCTGCAGTAGAAATGTCCATGGTTAAACTTATCACATTAAATGCTTAATGCAGAATGGACATCTTCCTCTTGAGCAGAGAAGGAAGACATTCCCTGGGGAATATGGATACAGGAAAGGGATAAGACTCTCTCTAACACAGTCTACATCAGAGGATAGAAATGCTTGGTGGTGAACGTAGCAGTCCTGGTGGCAGGAGAGCTAATTAGTTGGGCACTGTGGAGCTCCTCAGATCCTCACAGCTCAGATCCTCTGATATCCCCAGGGTTGCTGATACCCTCCATGGAAATGCTGCAGGAAATCTGGAAATGGGCAGGTTGGGACGCAGTCCTGTTTTTCTCACATGGAGCTGGGATGCGACCAGATTGTATCTGGCAATAAGGATGCAAGGCACCATGCAAAGGGCTCTTGTTTTGAAAAGGCATCACATGTTCTTCTGCTTCTAACCCAAGGTGAACAAATGATCTGTAATCTACATGAGATGGACAAGGAAGCAGAAATAAAATGCTAAATTAAAAAGTGTGGTGTCACAGAACTATTCCTGTGTATATTTGTATACATAAGTAAACTATGATATAATTCTAACAGTGATACGTATTCTCTTTTACAGGATCCATTTCTACAGCTTTAAAAAAAAAAAAGTGGAAACAGTGGTGATTACTGTTGGGAAGACATTCCTCCAGTGTGCACACAGACATAGAAGAAATACACACTGGAAGGAATTTTACTTTATAATAAAAAAATGCAGACCTGCCTTTGGTCCAAACTTTACAACACAGCATAATAAACCTTAATAAGATTTCCAAAGGAAACATGATTGCAATCACATATATAATGAATGTACTGTTCCTTGAATATTTTCTGCAGATACAGGCACTTTTCTATTTTCAGCATGGTATTTTAGCTCTATGCTATTTGCCCTATGTCAAAGGACATGGATTTGGGAAAACTTTATGTCAGTACTTTTTCAGCAAATGATAAATACTTTGTGTGACTGAAATACAGTATTATTAGGCTGTTAAATGTACTATATGCCATACATATATCAGTAGTAAAACTCTCATGTCTGAAGACCTTTTAAACTATGCAGTCCATTTGTTGACAGCAGAAGATAGTTCCTTAGATGATGTTCTGAGTATATCAGCTATTCTAGCTTGAGAAGATTCAAATAATTATTCTTATGTCATTTCATTAGGAAAACTATGAAACAGTCTTCTTTGATGGGTAGACAGAAAGGCTTCCTGTGCAAGCTAGAGAGTCTGAGCTGTTTATTGCTGCTTTTGCAAAGAAATGGAGACTAGCAATCAGAAATTAAATACTAATACTAATAATTCTGATTCTTAGATAGACCATTTAATATAGCTTCTATGTTCCTATTACCCTGTATTGTCAGCTTGGAAAGTGGGTGGAGCAAGCACACAACTCTGCATGTTTCTACATAAACATACTATATTATAATTCTTCCTTTTGTTTTCAATATTAAATTTTTCAGTTCAATGACACACTGAGAACAAAATGCAGCCAGTCCCCTGCTCCTCTAGAGAGTCTGCCACTTCGCTTTTCTCCTTGCTGTGTCTCTCATTCTCTGCCATCTCCACCTGCTTCCATAAAAGTCTCTCAGACGATCTTGCTCACAGGAGAGGAACATCCTTCTACTGGGTTCTGCTGGATCTATCACCCAGCAAACAAGTTAAGACAAATAAGTAGCCTTCCTCCCTGCTGCCCAGGCACACAAGAGAAACAAAGGGTAGTACGCATATATAAAGTTATAAACAAACATGTCAAAAATTTTCTCCTCCATTACACTTAATTCATTTACCACCAGGCCAAACTGCAGATTATACACACATGGGAGAGCAAAATAACCATTAATCCTTTCAAAATTGTACTATGAAATACTTTTTCTTTTTACTCTTTTTAATTGGAAGGGCATGTCAACTTATGAGACAAGGCATACTACAGTTCCTAGTAAGCTTGAGGTAACAAGTACTCCTGATCTAATTAGTTTGGGCTCAGACTTTATGTCATTAGGGTGAGTGCCTGGAACAGCTTCCAGGCAGAGGAACGCATCTGGAGGGGAAGGAGGTTTGAGGAGTTGCAGGAGCCAGACAAACGTGGAAGGTTAAGCAGTCAGTGGGACTGGATAAAGGAGAAAGTACAATAGCGAGACTTGCTCCAGGCTGCTTAAGTTTTGCCAACATATCGTGTTGCTAGAAAAAAGTAAATAGAAGCCATACTGAAATCTCCAGTGGTATGCGGTCTCTCTTTCTGCAGAAGTTTGATTCAAAGTGCAGGTTTTGCTAATGTAATATTTCTCATTTTTAGGCTATGACTCTCCTGTTTCTCTGCATACATTACACAATAAGCTACTCCAGTAAATAGGATTCAACAACCCTGGAATAGTTTTGACAACTTCTTTTTGCGGAAATAGTATGTGTAGGCAGCTTGGTGAAATGAATTTGTTCTGTGCTGCCTCATCAAGTCAAGAAATCTGTAATTCTTTTCCCACTTAAAAAGAAAAAAATATTTTAAAATTCTTTGCGATCTAGTTGAATGGGGAATACTTGTTCCACAGTGGTAAATCCAGGGTTTGAAAGAACAAAAGAATCAACATGATTTCAGATGGTATGAATGTAAAGTACCATGGGAAGAAAGAGAAGGAAAGGACACAAAAGTCACTTTACGTGGTGAAAAGGTCCTGCAGTAATGGCAGTATTACGCAAGCTGGTTTCTGACCTTTCATGGTATAATTGTTTTGTTTGGCTGGGATTAGTGATCAATCTGAAATTTCACCCTGACTCTGGTTGCTCTGTCGTGTTCATGGGGATGCTCTATCTGAGTAAAGTTTCTCTTGTAAGACATAACTGGAAATAGTTAATAAATTTTACATAAGCAAATATTTCTTGTTTTGTTCACTGAAAGCCTGTAGCCTGTGATCATTACTGACAACTAGAGCAGAAATCATGCTTAGCTGAAAACAAAACCTACTTCCTAATCTGAACATTCGCCTCCAGAGATTTAGACTTCTGAACTGCCTAGTTGCAGTGGCTTAATTAGAATATATTTTTATTGGAGTACTATTTACAATAAAATTATTCCTTTAATTTGGTTTGGATCAGACTTCTGAGACTTGGGAGAATAAATTTATTTTCCCTTATTTAAGTACATAGTTAAACTGCTGGAGAGTAGATGTTACTCTCTAATGTGTTTTTTAGCTTTACCGTTCTACCCTTAAAATCCTTGAGAATTTCCATCAAAACCTATGGGTAGCTCTCAACAGTCTGCTGCATTTGAGCTTCACAGTGAACTTATATTTTCCCTAACCTCATTCTTAGAAATAACTTAAGTATTTGGGATGAAACATCCAAAGGTTTTTCAGCTTCAAGCAGAACACAGATAAGGAATATATAGGCCCAAATGGTAAAGATATTAAGCAAACCAGACTCAATAAAATCAGTGGCTTGGATTAGCCTTCATAGTTCTTTGCACCAGAACTACCAGATTTATAGTCATTTTAACAACAGTATGACAGTTTTAAGATAGACTATATTTTTTTATTCCAAGTACATGTTTTCTTAAATGTGATTTCCAACAGCAAGCTGTGATTTGAATTAGTTTTGGTAACTTTTTAATGAATCTGTGTCAACTCATTAAATTATTCATACATCTTTTATTATTTCCAGCACATGCTGCTCTTCAGCCTTTCTTTGGTCAGATTGAACACAATGAGGTAAAACAGTGCCACAGGTAATAGAGAAACTGCCTTCTACTGATTACAGAGGTTTTTTTCTTTTAGAAAAAGCAAAAATATGAATTTCAAGATCATTTGAAATAAATTTACTCCTATAATCTGTAATAGCTATGTCAGGTTAAATTTGACTTCATTTCATGTGTATTGTGGGAGAACTAAGCTGACTCTGAGAGAAGGGGGATCTTTTCCCACAGGATGGCATATGCTTATACACGTTCCTTAGGTACAGTTCATGGGTACAAATATAAACCACAAATACTATCCTGTTATATTTTATCTGACAGATTTGTTTCAAAAGGCAGAACATATGTCAACATAGCTCCAACAATGGTACTATGTAATTTGATCAAAATACATTCTTTTTTCAAACAGAGAAAGATGACAAGGCAAATCCACTGAATCTATCCCCGAACCTTCTTTGAAAATTGTAGTGTTTGAAATCTGTGAAGAGTAAAGGATTCTGACTC